ATTGGGTGTTTTTATTGACCCATTTATAATAGTTGATATAGATCTAGATCTAGTACGGGAGACTAAATTTTTCCTTATTTTAGATGACTTTCACAAAAAATGCCGACTGCTCTCCTTACAAACTCAAACATACTTACGTTTTCACAATCTTCTAAAAGTGACCTATTGTTGCCCTTTTAAAGTCCCCTAGGGCCCTATCCTCCGGCAGTGAAATTAAAATACTATCTCGGATTTCTTTAGTATTCGAGTTCATTGAGGAAGATTTTTTTTAAAATTTGTTTTCCAGTATTCAACACCAATGCGAAATGCGAATAAACCTCTTCCTTACTTCCTTCTTCCTTCTGCCTGGCTGGCCTGGCTCATTATTTCTTTCTTTTCCACTTCCGCTGTGTGGCACGTTGCACGGGTGACTAGAAGCCGGCCTAAAGAACAGACTCAAAATGGGTTTTGGAGATTTAAAATCGCAAGCTGGGCTTCAAGCATTGAACGACTTTTTAGCGGATCGTAGTTACATTGAAGGGTATGTTCTATTTTAGTAACCAGTGTTGTGCGTTAGTGCGTCAGACTTTATATTGTGATCGTGACTGAGACGCAGTGCCATCTGCCGTAACCGGTACTGATCGGTAGTCGTAACCTAGCAGTAGATTCTAGATCTAAATCTAGTCAGTAGCTAGTGACGCAAGTGAGCTGTCTGCTGCATCTAGATTTAGATCTAGATATCTAGATCTAGATTTAGGCCTATACTATTCAAATTGAGTTATAGATTTTTTACTTCACTTTGTCTTGGCCCCTGCGCAGTTTTAGCAAGATTTACCACATCTTTGTCAAGCCCTTTTTTCTAGGGCCACCTCTATTCTCACCCGGGGTGAGAATAGGGCGATTGTCAAGATTTCCGCGTTTAATTCCGATGTGCGTTTTTCATAGCCTCAGGTATGTTTCGCTTTGGTCCCTAGCCCTAACCCTAACCCTAACCCTGGTCAGGGTTAGGGTTAGGGACCAAAGCGAAACATACCTGAGGCTATGGAAGACGCACATAGGAATTAAATGCGGAAATCTTGACAATCGCCGAGAATAGTGCTGGCGAGTCTTTTGGCTATTCTCACCCGGTGCGCGTTCACCGTTATTATAGCCTAGATCTAGATCTATATATCTAGATCTAGGCCAACAAATTTTGCGTTCACCCTAAACCACAGAATTCTACACTGTGATAACAGAGAAATTGTAGAATTCTGTGCCATGAACAAACGTTCCATTACAATGCCGTGAACAAACGTTCCATTACAATGCCGTGAACAAACGTTCCATTACAACTGTAGCCTACTAAAAGCGTAAATTTTGTCTGTGGGCAGTGGAGAGAGATAGAGGAGTAGCGCGAGAACTTCCGGTCAAAACAAAATGACGACCCGCGTAGTTCGGCTTGATTCGAAAAGTTAAATAGCCATAGCATCTTTGTATTTGTAGACAACCAAATTAATTTACTTTTATGTTTTGACATCATTTTTTAA